GATTTTAACCTTAACTTTTGGTGCAATGGTAAAGAATGGATTTGCAATTCAGTCTCTCTTTATTACTTACTTTTCCTGACTCATTTGCTGAGTATCTGCTAAATAATTGGTATAGTTTAAAACTGGCTATAGAACATACTAATATAAAATGTCTCGATGAGAACTTTTAGAAACTATATGAATTTACCTTATTAGGAAATAAGAGATTAAAGCAGAATGTGTTACTTTCAAACGAGCCCAAGATATTTGTGAAGTGAACCAAATATCTATTCAAATCTTACAGACTGCTGTCTATGAAAGTTCATGATGTTTCCATATATGACGGTGGCAGAATAATGACAACTTTGAACCCTGTAAGTTTGGGGTTTTTCCAGTCTATTTCTTGGCAAATTGAGATTTTATGTTTCACAAAGTTATGAAATGAGCTAATATTCGTAAAGAGCCCAGAATTTAGTAAACATTCATTTTTTGAGTATTTATCAAAATTCAAATTAATACATCACAAAAATTTTATTCAGATCAAAATGAAGGAATATTATGGTGGAGAGAAGCAGATTTTGGAGAGAAGTTGATGGAACACTGTATTTCATGAAATCCTATCATTAAAGGTATTACAAATCGTGGAGCCAACATTTAAAAAATTATATGTGCATGTATATATATATACACACACATGTATATATATGTGCATATGTGTATATATATATATATATGAAAACAAACAAACATAAACAAGCTTGGGCGTGAGTGATAGTACTGTTGGTAGGGCCTTGCACCAACCAACCCGCACTTTATCCCTAACACCCTGCTGGGAGTGATTGATCTCTGAGCCTGAGAGCCAGGAGTAAGCTGAGCACCACCAGGTATGACCCGAAAACAACAAACATAATACTAAGAAAAAAAAATGAAGAATTGTATTCATTTTTTTCTCTTCTTTTTTACTTAATACATTAGAACATGGGATAGGAATGTTCCCCAAATAAACATATTCAATGTATTTTTCTTAAAGTACAAAATATTCAAGATAAAAGTCCTTAAAGTGTTACATTCTAAAATTTCAATTAAAAACATAGTACTTACCAGTAAGGGCCATATATGAAAAACACATTTAGGTAATGAAATGCATGCAATTACATAAATGAAGTATACTTAAAATTAAGAGCATATATTTTTACCAATTACTCATTTCTTGTACTAAATCAAAATCAACATTTTTATCAAACACTTTTAAAATTTCCAGTTTTAGACCTTAAAGTAAAATTGGTGATGATAATAAAATTGAAAAAACCAGTGACTAAAGTTCATGTTTCTTAGATATTTCCCAAATACAAATTAATTTTTAATTGCTTTAATAAAAACTCATTTTATTAATTAAAAACAAAATTTATAATATACTTAAAACATGGGGTTCTATCTAGTATATTATACAAGACAGTGTGTACATTTTGTACTCAAAAGACTACACATACTAATTCTAACAAATTATTGCCTAGGCTAAGTATTGTTGACCCTGCTTTAAGAAATATAAGGTTACTTTTAAATTAACACACTGTGAACATATAAAGTATGTGAAAACAATTTTAAAAAATTTAAATTATTTTTAATTAGTTTAAACTCTCTCCCTACTACTCTTATTAAATTGTTCAAACATGCTTAAAAAATTAAATTCTATGCCAGTATTTAATTTATGTTTAAACTCTATAGTCATACATTTTAAAAATATTACATATTTTGTAAAACACAATTGAGTATGTGAACCCAAAAACTGAGAATTATCCCTAAATGCCACAAAAAATTCTAAACTTTAGACTTAAATTATAAAAGTAATTGCTTAGTAATAGTTAATATAGTACTCGTAGTCATAATTATTTTTGTAATGCCTATATTTCACTTTTTTAAAATTTGTTTCCTTTATTGTGACATGAATACTTTCATGTCTTATTTGTCTTTCATTTCCCCCTACAAATTACTTTATGATGTAAAGTATTTAATAAATATCCAATTAATTTGGATTATTTCAATACATAAATGGCAGTACCAGTTGATAATAACAATAATTGTTGATAAAGGGATAAACCCAGTTGGGCATCTTAGTTTGTCATGTAACTGATTTTTTCAATAGGTATTTGTGGTTACCTCAAAAGAATACTGAGGAGAGAAAATTAGATTTTAGGTTTTAAGATCTAGAAAGCAACTCCTCAAAAATGTATTAATATCTATTTTAATAAAATGTCATTTTTTAAAGCTTTTCAGATTTCCTTTATATATTTCTGTGCTATAGTCGAATAAAAACTTTTTTGCACAGTTTAGTCTGCACAGATTTATAAACACTTTAATGAATGTTGTTTTAATGATGGATATTAGACTATTAGTATAAAGTTTATCCAAAAAATTGTGTGAGGATTAAGCATACAATTGGTATTATAATGTTATATCTAACAATCAACACAAGAAGTTATTCTTAATTGATACTCAATGAACTAAATTTCTTTGTTCTAACAATTGGATACTTATAACAAATGAAGTAGTAGATAATATTTTTATCTATCATGCAAATTTGAATACTAAACTTTAAGAAATTACATTATATATATATATATATATATATATATATAAAACCAAGCATTTTGATGCTTCTTTGGGTATTTAGAAAATTTCTAACCCAATGGATGCATGTATTTTAAGCATGTTGCCATATTTTAGTTGTAGGAATACTGTACTGAAAATTTAACTTTATCAGATTTGTTCCCAAAATAACAACTATGTAATTTTATTTAATTCATCATGCTACTTGAAATCTCAATTTTTCTCAGATGATTTGATTTTGTAAAGTACAATAAAACAAAATATGTGAAAACTGCTTGAAAATTAAATTAAATTTATAAATATATGGTACAATCTTAATAAATTAATACAACATTATTGTTAAAATATTTATAAAGTTTACTAACACAAAATCTGTACTATAATTATTTTAGAAATACTATAAATCAAATGAGTTTAAGCTTCAGATAAAATTCATGTTATTAAAACTTAAGAATAAACCTACCATTTTAGATATAGTAAAATTTTAGAATTTAGAGGTTGACTTTGTATACAAAGAAAACTTCAAAGATATAAGAAAATTTTAAAGGAAATATGTAAAAATAAGGAAAAACTTTATTTAAAATTACCGAGAGACAATTCTCAGTGTGTAAAGAACTTACTACTTTGCATTTGAAACCAAGTTTTGCTACTGTACACATATTAGCAGAGTGACTTTTTAAGCCTAGATGTTAGACACTTTCAACAATTAGTTATTCCATGCATATATATGCTTTGTAAAACAGACAAAAGAGAGTAAAAGATAAAAACTCTGCAGAAAATAGAATTTTATAACTACATTTTACAGAATATTTCAAGAGATATTGGTATTTTATTATTTTGAAAATATTACTTATTTGAACAACTAAAAAAGCATCAACGCCTGATATAATTTCAACATTGGAAAGGATAAATTATTGAAAAGAATGTAGAACAAAAATTCCACCTCAATCCATTGATACCACTATACTACTTAACAGGTATGATGTGAGGTATTAAACATTGCATATAATTACACACTTATGATGCAACATTGTAGCTAAACCAGTTCATCAAGGCCACTAAAATATTGAAAGATGATTAAGCTTATTAACACTGGAGAGGAAAAAAGAACTACAAACGCCCTTCAAACTCAAATATGGAATGGTAACAATGAAGAATGTTACAACTAAGAATTTTCAATACATGAAACAAAATATCCAACTCTAGTTTCTTAATCTTCTTTATTACAATGATCCAATAGGATACAGCTCATACTTTGAACCTGCATGGCAGTGTTTTTTTTTCCTAATGCATCAGAACTTATCCATTAAGGATTTTTATCTGTGTTGTATACAGTGATTGAATGTTAAAAATTAAGACATAATTTGGATGACTTTTATATTTTACACTAAATATCAATATGTCTTACTAATACCAGGTAGAGAATTTTAATTGAATAAAAGAACTAAAAATTTTAGGGGTTAGTAGTAATTATTAGTTCTACAAAGGTATATATAGATACCCATATGACATACATCATCAAAACTGAAAGTTTTGATGATGTATGTCATATGGGTATCTATTAATATCCATATCTTATTAATACCACATAGAGAATTTTGATTGAATAAAGAACAAAAAATTGTGCATTAGTAGTAGATATTAGTTCTTAAAAGGTAATTTTAAATTTTGGTGATGTGTGTCAATTTTTCCTTTGTACACAAACTTATAATAAATCCATAGTCTTGTTTCTAAAATGCTGGTTCTCCCTAAGGGTTCAATAGCTATTAAGAGTTAGAATATATTTGCTTTAGAGTGGAAAAACCTCAGGAAAATAGAAAGTAGTTTACAAATATTGGATTAGTGTACTAGTTGTAATAGTGTGTTTAATGGTGAACTTAAAATATTTTTAGCTAGCCTACTGGGTTAAAATACCTTTTGAAAACACTTATATAATAAAGTCAAAAAAAGGGCTATTCCAATGCCAGGGAAAAATCTTTGTTCAAGAAAAGTAACCTTTTTTTCTTAATGGATGCCACAAATTGGATTAAAGGTCCTTACATGCTAATAGACCCACTTGAGGTATGGTCATTTGATGGAGCATTAGAGAATCACATAGACACAAAGATGGATGCATAGAGAGAAGTTTTTACCCATGAATCACAGAAGACAAGATGAATATCAAACAAAATGGAAAGTCAATATTTTCTAAGCACTGATAGTTATTAATATGCATGATTTCTTACACAATAAGAAGTTTGGCCAAAATGATGATAGAGAATGTGAGGCTACCAATTACTTTGTAGAATATTTTGCTTAAACAATATAATTGTTTGACTCTACTGTTCTGCGCTTGAATAGACCATTGTTTAGTAAGTAGAAAAAAGTTCTGTTATTGAGATGTGTAGTAAGAAGATTGCCAGGAAAAAAAATAATGTTGAAATAAACTCTTTTCAGCATTTTCAAGATTTGCAAGTTTATAAAACAGAGTAGATTTTCTTTGATTCGGAGAAATTCTTTGCACATATGTAGTGTATAACGTCCTACATACATATGGAGCTTCCTTATGTACATATACATATGCATACACTATATGTGTTCTTAAATGTATACACAACTTTAACTCAAAGAAAATGAGTTAGCAACACAGAAGTCATTGCAAGACAATCCAAGTGCTGGAATAAGTGAGACTGATCAAATAAAGGGCTATTCTTTACTTCTCATATTGCCCAGAAATAAGAATATCATTTTTGAAAGTTTTTCTTTCATCACAACACTGATTGTCATATAGAGTCTTTGTGCTTTTGCATAATGCCCATTCTGGATGTAACATAGATATTCACATATAACATTGGACATTTTTAGTAAGCATGCTGGAACACAAGCAGGACCATACAACCATGCACAAAAATATTCTGAATTTGTTTCCAAACTGACAACAACATTGACATGCACCACAATCATATTTGGTCCTGTACAGCTCGAAATGTACAACTGAAGCAATCATGGCTAGTTAAACTTGCAAGAGTTTCCTTAAAGAAGCACACCCAGTAGAGAAACAAAACAGAATGAATGAAACAACACAAATCCCCCCAAAGCAAAAATTGAAAAAAGCAAATTCCTCCCACGTGTTAACAAATCCAGTCATTTCCCACATAATACATCTCCTCATTCCACATATAGCAGACCTTACAAAACTCTGCGATGCACAGTTTATTAGAGAAACATATCAATGTCTCAGAGCTTTCTCTAACCATTGGAAAAGCTCATCTTGATAAAGCATTTTCCAGCGTACATTTGCTTCCACAGTCTCTACAGCTCTCGAGAAAGAGGCAGCAGCTACTCCGTCATAGTTCTTCATGAAGTTCTTGAGCTGGAAATACAAAGTTTTGAATAATAAATATGAAGGCTGTAAAATTAGCTCACTTCTGTCATATATGAACAAGAACCTCTTCTAAGCCAATTCTATATTCATTACAGAAAGTATTTTGAATACAGAGTTTGGCAATTGAAGCCTATGTAACAGGTTGTGTCCATTAGGTGTGATGTAATTGCTTTTGGAACTGAAAGGAAACACAACAAACATGACGCCACAAATAACTCCAAACTCAGCATCCTTTTCTCATAAATAATATTAACACCATATAGCTCTTCATCATGGATAATAATATTAAAACCATATAGCTCATATATCATGGATAAAAAGGACTGAGCAGACTAGTTCTCATTACAAGGCATGCCTAATATATGAACTAGACTGAAAAAAAAGTAAAATTTGAGGTTGATGATCATCGTCTAGAACCAGTTCACTCTGTTGAAAGAAAGCTATTCTTCATGATTTCCATATGAACAACCTGAGAAACTAATATTATTGTTGGTGGCCAGGGTTTACCAAAGTTATTGGTGCTGGCAATAAAGTTACTGATGCTATGAAAATTATGATTAATGATTCTGCAAACACCTGAGTAACCAGATTTAGAAGGACGAAGGAATGTGTTCTCAGCCAGTGAATTTGAGCATTTAATTAAACTGACTTAGTTTTTAAATGTTTTGTCATAATTTTTATGGATCGAAGCTTTTTCTCTAAAGAGTTCACATATCTGGGCATTGCTCAGGGATTTTGTTTCAAGATTCAATATTAGCAGTTTCCTTTCTGTTTGTTATAGCTTAAGAATCTGGCAACTAACCAACAATCTCAATTCTAACAAGCAAATGTGAAAAATCTACTTGCAACACAGAAACATTCTGTAGTTTAATTAGTGTTTGGGTGTGATTCATCACATGGTAGGTGCCACATGAAAGATCTGCCAGAGGGAAAGAAAGTGCATCAATATTGGCTCAGGGACAAGGAGGAAGTGTGTGTGTGTGTGGGGGGGGGGGGGTAGCTAGCATTTAAAATGCTCTTAATTATACCTCTCTTAGCTGGTCTAAAAAAATTGGTGCCTGTATCGCTTCATTTGTTTATGGCAGTGTTGCTTTGACTACGTGATGCAGATGGGTTCTCTATAATCTCTGTGTTCTAACAAGAGCCCCATGGTCAGCAACATCCATAATGGGTAATCATAGTTCAGAACTGTATCTTTACAAAACTTTGACCAAACACGCAAAACAGCTCTATAAAACAAAATGGATCTATGCTATCCTTAAAAATGATTTGACACTTTCCATGTATACTTACAAAGGAGAGCAGAGAAAGGGAAGAGGACCGAAGCAGTCCAGTAGTTCAGGCAATGTCTACAAATATATTACTGTAATATGTAGATATTCATAAAAATGTAAGTTTAATGAAAGTATTTGAATCATATTTGCAGTTTTCACTAATTAGTTTGATTAGTATTTGTATTTTTGTTCATACAGTTATATCTTATCTAATACATTTTTATTTGTTGTCTTTTCTCTTTTATTAGAAATATATGTACATTGTGATATATACTATGAGCCATTGTTTCCATATGTGTGTCAATCAGGAAAAATTACATCTGCTTCTTTTAGACATGGACTGTATAGTTAGATATTTTCCTAGAGATTTTTCTAATCACAATAGTGATAAATGATCCTTTGAAAATTTGTAGAAAGCCCATGGCTTTTTGGTGAGACAGTAACAACTTGTATTCATAATGGAAAGCTGTGAAGAGTTTCTTAAAGGCAAATTATGAGTTTGACTATGAATGTGTTATCTTTATCAATACAAAGATAGTAGACTCTAATCCTGCATGAGAATTCCCAAGCCCAATATATAACTGTAGGTATCTAGAGATTCATTTGTAAAGTAATTTACTGAATACTTCCCCTGTGAGTCTGGAGAGCCTCAGGTGTCTATGAATTTTAGGAGTAGTTAATTCATCAGAAATAATCTGGCCGATTTTTTTTTTTAGCTGGCATCAAGTGTTCTTATGTTCTGTGTTTTTGTTAAAGTAATTCTGATACACCAATACTACGAATAGTATGATTTCTGTTATCAGAACAGTGTTGGACCAAATTTTTGAGTGTTACCATAGTGCTTTATGATGCCCCATTGCGCTTTACAGGGCATGAGATGGAGAGAAGCCACCTGAAATTCCAGATGTCTTGTTTATATTTTTTGGTAGGTTTGCTACTGCTACTAAATGTTTTTTAGTGTGGCCCTTACATATGCATGCCATATTATAGTACTATTTTAAAATGTTGTAAATTGGTATCTTTTTATTAAATAACATTCAGAAATATGTCAGTGTTGTGTGTGTGTGTGTGTGTGTGTGTGTTTGTGTGTGACATCCTTGTTTCCTAAGCATAACATGTTTATGCATTTCTATGTTTGTTCATTTATCTGTTAAAACACACTTTAGCTTTTAGGAAACTCTTATTTTAGGGCACCCTAAACCCTAAATATCACAAAGTAAATTATTTTTAGAGCAGATGGCAAAAATATAATTCATGCTAAGCAACTATATAAACTGAATTAGCTAGTGCCCTATTTTAAGGAATATATTTTCAATGTTAAAAAATAAATGTGATGTCTGTGATAAAGAGGATATATGTTCCACAACGGTGTTATATATCAGGTTCAAGAGGCAGGAAATTGAGTGCTACAGAGGATTGCTAATGGACATTTGTATGAAAAATTCTGATGTTTCACTGCCATTAGTTTAAAATTAAGACAATGATGCATTAAGTGACGGATAAATATTGCTCAAATCTCTGGTCATGTAATTAAGAGGAAATCATCAGTTTTAGGTATTAGAATGCCATTTTTGGAAACAATGTAACTTTCCTTGTAAATGCTCCCAAAACTCAAGGGAATCATTAAAATCTTAAATAAGCTTCCAGAATTCATAAAGATGCTTATTCCCTTTTGATCTATAAATACTTGAAATAAAAATATGCCATGTAAAAGGGGAACACATTGGGTTTTCTGCTTATGCACTTCATTGGTTATGGGAGAATCAGATTGGAGTTTCTAGGTTCTTATATTTATGGAAGCGGGTTATCAGTGATACAAATCAAAACCCCATCCCACCAAACCATAGTGGTCTACAATCCTACAGATGATGATTATACTAATGAATGTATCAAAAAAAGAAAAGCCTCAGCAGCAGTTGTTAAACTAGGAAGTCAGAGCAAGCAGCTCTATTGTGGAGGGATTCATTGCTCATGCCACAGAGAGCCTATATCATAAAGTGGCTATTTTATAGAGTATAGAATAAAAGCAGTGCTTTAGCTCAGTTCCAAAATTGCATCTTTCACCATAGAGATATCTGTTAATATTTCAAATAAAAATTTAATCAGGTGTTAGACATTAAATATCTAAGTAAATTATCTAAAATTAAACAGCCAATGTTACAGTCAAACCAATAATGTGTCCATTTGTAGAACATGTTTTCCTATGGCTGGGATATTACAAAAGCATCGAACATACAATACATAGACAGTAGTGGAGAATAGAAAAATAAGGTAGGACAGTGGCAGGAGGAAAAGAGGCAGGAAAGAATAGAGGAGAAATGAAAAAGGAGGAAGTGGATGGGGCAGGCAGTAAGTTATCTTTCATTTCTATTTTCACTTCAATGCTTCATAGGTTGTGACTAAATGAGTCTTTCCCAGATTTGTTGAGTGTCAAATCATAAAATTAAAAGTACTTCATTTAAATACAGAGAAAATTGGAGGCAATCATTAATTTAATTGCTCTTTCTTTCTGCTTCCTACAGATATGATAAAAGAATGTCGTTACCATTTAGCTTCCTTTATTAAAAAATAAAGTAAAACATGTGTTGGGACTTCCAAAACCAACTCCTTCAGGGTAGGGAAGACACAGAGCAGGAATAATAAATGAATTTCAAACCATTATAATCAGAGACTTAGCTTAGCTTAACTCATGGGGTAAAAAAATTTAAGTTAGTGCATAGGAGACAATTATACAAAATTAGCCACCATTGGAAGACAGGAAAATGTAGCCAGGTGGTTATTACTTCTGTCTTGGGGCTGGGAAGGGGCCTGGGATAATACTCAGTGTGATTAGCTGTGGATCACAGTCTCAGGCATTTCATCCATGAAATCTGAGAAAAGCATGGTGCCAAATTTCAGCTATACTTTATAATGAGAACAACAGATGGGAAAGAGATAGATATTTGAAGTCCGACTCATTCTCTCAATTAAAAATATCTAAGATTTGCTTCTTCTTGGCTACCTATTTGCTTACCTTTCCCCACTTCACATTGCTGCCAATTAGAGATGTAAATTAATGATAAAAACAAAAATAGAGCTCCCAAGCCTTCCACAAAATACATCAGAGAAAGAAAAGAACTGCTGGATACTCCATAAACACTTTTTAAAAATTTAAATTAATTTTATTAATAAATGTCATTTGAAGTTTATTCAAGTAGAATTTTAAATAAATTATTAATACCAACAAATATTTCCAGATACCTTCCATTCATATGAATTTATTAGTTCTATATACTGGATAGCACAAAGCATCAGTATTACATCCAGCAATAGATTCTCCAGAAAAAGAACCAAAGCAGTGAGAATTAATTTCTGTGCCGCAATACCAATCTCAGCTCTCGGTTTCCAAACACTGTTATTATTATAGGATGTTTTTTGTTAAGAATCATAATCTGTTTTCAAAGAATGGTGAGAAACAAGTGATGGATCAAAAATTCCTGTTGTGTGTTTGGAATCCCTCCATGTTTGAGAAACATTGCATTTGAATGCCAATTGCAGAAACTTAATGTTTAGAATGTTAGAATTACCTTTGTAAAAAATGAATTAACAAAAAAATTTAGCATAAATATATTTTTGCATTTGAGTATTGGGGCAGGAGTATTAAAAGGAATGTATATGATCTGTGGATACATCATTTTTATAATAAATGTGTTATTTCTATGAGTGGTTGGATTAAATATATTACTTTGTAGGCTTATAAAAAAGTGAAACCCCGTAATAAAATTAATTACCTCTTTGAGTTCTCCTTCAGTATTAAGAAATTCTGTAACTCCACTGATAAGTTTTGAATTCATAAATAATGCCTCTCCATACCTTAAAAGATAAAATTAAAGTAAGTATTAATAGACAGCAATTTAACAAATACCAGTATACAGACTTCCATAGTCCTTTTCAAGGGTTTCCTCTGGCAACTGCTATCTTATTGCCATTAATCTCTGAGCATTATAATGTCTTGAGCATTCAAGGTCTAGTACCTTGGCAATGATGGGTGTACACAGAACAATAGCTATAGAAAATAATTTGATGCCATGCAGCTTGTGTCAATGTTTTGGAGAAATTTTGACTGGAGGAATTTTTAAAAAGTAATTCATCAAAATTATACAGATTTAAGAATAATTATTATATTTCTAAACAAAGATCTAAGAACAAAATATCTTTTAACTTAAAACATTTATGCCAACCTAGCTCACTATAAGGATTAAAAATCTAAACAAAGGCAAAAGAATAGCAAGACAAACTAGGAGATAATCAGTAAGTCACAAAGAGGCTTTGGTTGGTTCAGTGATGACTGACACCAGCATTCTCTGTTTTCATGCTTAGAGGACCTGTATATATCATAAAAATATTAGCATTTTCACTGAAATAAAGTATTGAGTTATTCATTCAAATTGCATAATGCTTCTACCATGGGCACAACTGTTCACTTGACAGCACATATACCATAGGCAGTATTATTCAACTCATGACCCAACGTAGAGAACAATTTATGTCAGTAAATCATGAATAAATTCTCATTATATTGTTTTATTTTTATTATACTAAAGAAAGTAATCCTAGGTTATTATGTTCTATTACTGAGAAAAATATACTCAAGATGAGCATTTTTAAATCTTTCAGAGTATACTAATTATCTGAGTTTTTAGAAACAAATGTCTAGTTGCCCTACAACAGCTTTTTAAATTGGAACCTTAAGACAATTCCTAATATTTAAAGTAAGGATGGCTAGGATCAGAATTTGAACACACAGAAAATTGTTGTAATTCCAAAATTGAGCTATTTCATGGGAAAAGTTCAGTAAGTAAAATAAAGTATAAGCACACAGAATTACATTGCAATTCCAATATTCAACTATTCTGTGCAAGTAGTCATAAAATAATATTAATAATATTAGTAATCAATTTGTAATTATAAAAATGTACAGGAGTGAAATTCACTCCAATAAAATGCCAAGAATTTTATTTATTTTATAATAAATTTTAATTTTATTAATTAGAAAAATAAGGCGTACATTTCCTGATGATATTATATTATAAATTAAGGAATAATAGTTCGATTCCTCCGCCCCTCTCGGAGAGCCCGGCAAGCTACTGAGAGTATTCGATATGCCAGACACAGTAACAACAAAGTCTCCAATGGAGACGTTACTGGGCCCGCTCGAGCAAATCGATGATCAACGGGAGGGCCTTTACTTTTTATTGATGCTTAATGAAAGAATGATAAAATTGTATACTAAGATTTCTCTTTAGATGTGGGATCTTAGAAAAAATATTCCATGAAACTGTGGCTTCTAAATTAAATATGGAGTAGTTTTAGACATCAAGGAAGAATAACTTCTAGGCGAAGGACAAATATAAAGACAGGGAAGGTGATACAGTAGGATACTTGAAGACAACTGAAAGCATTTGGTAATGAGTACATAAATTGTGAGGCTTGGGAATATATGAATAAGAAGACAAAAGAGGTTATCAGAGGACTTTTTGTTTATTATAGTTTAGGGATTACAATTGTTTATAATCTCTTTATACAAAATTACTACACCCTCACCCCACCCACCAAAACCAAAGTGCCTCCAACCTTCCACCATTGCCCTTATATTTCTTCTATTCTGGATCTATCTATTCCCACCCATGCCATTCAATGTTTGGTAATTGGTTATTTACTACAATGCCTTTTTTTTTCTTTTGGGTTTTATGCCACACTGGACTGGGCTCAGTGCTTATGACTCTGCATTCCTTCCTGGATGGGCTTAGGTGATGGGAATTGAATCCACATCTGTAGCACTCAAGGCAAGCACCCTATCCACTGCACTATCTCTATAGCCCTAATGCCTATTTATGGTGTATGTTTCACAGCAGGCAAATGTCATCTTGTCTTTTCAGAAAGATTATGAGGATGAAGGTAGGGCACTTGCCTTGCACAGTGTCTGCTTATCAGGATTTGATCACTGGTACCACATATGGTCCTCTAAGCTCCACCAGGAGTGATCCCTGAGTGCATAGCCAGGAGTAAGCCTGAGCACTGCCAGATGAGACCCTAAAATACCCTTCCCCACCAAAAAAAAGGATCATGACAAAAGGAAGAGGTGTCATTGTGTATGTCTGTGAGTGTGTATATGTGTGAATATGTATGTACGCACTCATGCATACTCATGCCTGCACATGTGCATGTGTGTATGATTACAGTCAAAAAAGGGAGAGACAAGTATGAGATTAGAACTTGTAACAGGACAATTATAGGTGGAATGAGATAAAAAGTCAAGAAACATACAGAAATTGTTAAATAAGCACAAGTTCAAGACCAATTATTGCATATTATAAAGGAAATGGTGGAGTCATACATATATAATTTTAAAGTTCCTTGGCTTGGTAGTCATCCATATATTATATTGGAAAAATAAAAGCATATGAAAGGAAACTGATGAATTTAAGTTGTCGGTGCATCTTAATCTGTGATTCCCAACAGGCAACTGTCTATCAGGAAGTGAAGATTAGGTAAAAATTTCATAAGAGATATAGATCCGGTTGTGATTAAAACACGAGAGTAGATAGCAACTAAAACTATGACCATTCTACAGAGCAGGAATTAAGGAGCACGTTGGAGAACACCATCTTTACTGAGGTTTAAGGGTTGATAGAGAATCATTTGAAAAAAAAAGATATTTCACTCTAACATTCCTTAACACCATTGGGCAGAATCTCCTGCACCCATCCAGGCTGTCTTCACTGAGGCCCCTTGGAGGGGGCCAGGTTGAATTTCCCTTCCTCTACAAGCAGAACCCCAGCCAAAAACCTCCAGAACCCAACCACATCCATGCTAAAGACTACTCTCCACACGCTCAAATGAGCCTCACCCATGAAGGAACCGACAGAGGAAACCCAGGTATGCGGGACCCATGACTGAGATCTCCAAGTCTACTCAGATCAGGACTGGGCCTCCTCCACCCAGATCCCCAGTGTTCCAGTAGCTTGGCAGTCACATCCCCAAACTGCCCCTGGCCCCAAGTACTCTCATCAATGGCCAAGATCCAGAGACTATAAACTAAAGGAAGAGAGTGATGCAGTTTTTCCTGGAGCATTCTTGGCCATGAGACCTCTTATACTCTAGCCCATTGATGTACCTAAAACAGCACACATATGTTGGGTTTTAACATACTTGCTTATATTCTCTTATATACGGGTTTAAAGGGCCACAGAATGAAATCGACAACCTTTACACATTTCCCTATTATTGTGGTTGGAAGGTGTTTGCTGGTGGGTGGGTGTTTGGATATTATCTGTAATGAAATATTGTGAACTACTTTATAAAAATGTATAAAAATTGCAAAAAAAACCCATTCCTTAACACCACTGATGTTCCTGAATAATCTTGACCCCTGCCCTTGTTCCTTCTCATGTATATCTTTGATCCTTCCCCTTTCCACTATTTCTTTCAATCTCTTCCCTACACTCTGGGAGAAAGAGTGACTCAAGCATCCCTCCTTTAAACCATTGCCTTTCCTCATCCATTTACTCTAAATACAACATATAAATGATATCATCCTGTGCCTATCCTTCTTCCAGCTTACTTCATTTAACATATCTTCCAATTCCATCCATATAACAGCAAGCCACTGAGTCAACACCACCTGAAATCACGAGACCCAAACTTTAACACTGTCAAACACTGTCCTCCCGTTGTTCATTGATTTGCTCGAGCAGGCCCAATAATGTCTCCATTTTGAGAATTGTTGTTACTGTGTTTGGCATATTAAATACTTCACAGGTAGCTTGACAGATTTTGCCGTGTGGGCAAGATACTCTCGGTAGCTTGCCGGGCTCTCCAAGAGGGGTGGAGGAATCAAACCTGGCTTGGCTGGGCTGACTGCACACAAGGCAAATGCCCTACCGCTGTTCTATCACTCCCAAATTTAAAAGATACCTGTCAAGAAAGAAGGTTACTTCTAAGGGTGTGGGGTAGAAGAGCAACCTGGGGACACCGATACAGGGAAGTTTACTTGGTGGCAGGATTGGTGTTGGGACATTGTATGTCAAAAACCTAACTGAATAACTTTGTAACTCAAAATGCTTTAATAAAATAAAATTTCGGGAGGGTGGGGAGACAACACTGTCTCTCAAGATATTGATGTATTTGTAGATAAGCTAAAACGGAAACCTTTCTACTTTTTTTTTTGTAACAGTGAACATAGACTCTTAGTGAGATAAAAGAGAATCTTAGAAGCAAATATTTCTATAGGGATTAAATTATGTATATACAGCACTTAACTCTGATACACAATATAAAAAAACTGTATTGGTAGAGCTTTGATATTCTTTAAAAAGATCTTGTATTTATTAATTTCACCCTGTGAAACTTGCTATTTGCTGTATGTTTGAAGAATACAGCAGAGCAATGTTTAATACTCAAATCATAATTTCTGAACTGAATCTATAAAAGAATTCATGTGTTCTGTGATTATAAATGCTCTCTGATGATGAAATATCTTTACACAGAAATCTGTCTTAATATGACACCTCCGTTCATGCTGAACTCTACATGAGGGCAACCAATAAAAGCACATTTTTAAATAATTTTTAAAATATGAGTTTAATGGATAGAATAGTAGGTTCTTTGTTCAAAGATATTCAAGGTTGAGATGTATAAGTTATAGAACATTTACATGTTCTATAGCAGTGATTATCAGCTGATGCTATGTGGCTCCTTGTGGACCAGCAGGGCTTTTTAAGGGAAAACTTTTGAAAATAGGGGATGAATGGCACAAGAATAGGGGCAAGCCAATAGAAAAGGAGTTCACAGCAAGCAAATAAGATCAGAAAGGGGCCACTGTTAGAAAATATTTGAGAAACATTGATCTATAATATGTTTAATTTTATATGTCTTCAGGATTATTGGAGTAACAACTAGTGCTTATATGAATCTACTTAAATACAAGTTGAAATATTTTCTAAAATGAGTTGAAAAATCTTACCAAGAAACAAGATGTCTTGAGAATTAATTCTCCTACAAGTGGATTTATAGAATGATTCAATAGTTTTTTTTTTATGTCATTGTTTTATTTCAGGTATTTTATGATATTTGCATTTAGAAAAACTTTAAGATAAATTTAGAGATGTAATAACAGTTTTTTATAATACCTCTATAACTGCTTCATAAATCATTTTTGTATTACATATTCAGGACATAGAGGTTATAATGTAAATTTTTCAACATCAGTTAGATTTTCCAGAAAATCACTCTATATCTAAATTACTCTATTTTAAGATATAACCACTGCTATATCTTTTACACTTCTAGCAGATATCAATATTTAATAAATATAATGTTAAATAAATATTCAAACAACTCTAAGTTTTGTAGGAAGGACAGAAATATCAGAATTATTAAAATGTTTTCCAGGGAACAGAGAAATAGTATAGTAAGGAAGGCTCTTGCCCAGAGCCCTGCCAGGAGTGATCACTGAGTGTAAAGTCAGGACAAAGTCCTAGGCACACAAAAATATCCAACCAATAAACAAAAGTTTTCTACATCTAAACCTTGGTTTTAACACAAAATTTGGATCTGACTATCTCAGATAACACCTTTAATTTGTTCTCTGAAATACAAATTGCTTAACTCATTCCTACCTGGTATTTAGTATCTTCCATTTTTCTCTGAAAAACTTCCAGGCAAGATCTCGGCCATGTGGATTTCTAGCTACATGTATAATCACATCAATCGCATCTTGATCCAGCACCACTTCAGAATTCAGCGATAGATTCAGAAGTCTTTAACAATAGAGTCGTGTGGCAATTAAAAACATTCAACATAAAACTATACATGCTTAAATTTATCATATTCCTTAAGATGCTAATCCACCAAGAACTTTAGCAATGCAAATTATCAATACTCCCATTTTCTATACATAAATAGGTAATATTCAAGCTTACAGAATTACAATTAATTCATCTATTTTGAGACAAGTAAGGGATAGACAAATCTAAAATTCTGAATTAATTATGCAAAATGTTTTAAAAATATTTGGAGGAACAACTTACTCTTGTAACAAAACACTTTTTACATATATATCAAACATATTTAAAGTAATTTTTAACAATTGATAAACTGAGTAACTTTAGTAATGTTCATGGAGCTATACATAGCTTTCAAGAGATATGTTTTATAGGAACTAAGATATATTCAACAAAGTGACGCACCTGTTTAATAAGTTCCTGTCATCACTGCATGTTAAGGCTTCCAATAATATTTTCTTTTCAGAAACTGCTGTGGTAGAGTGGAATTTCATCCATATGAATTCCCAGACATCCTCATCTAGTAATGAAACTCCTGTACAGTAAACGATGTCTCTCACGTTTAGCGGGATTCTAAAGAAGTAAGCCATGGGGATTTTCTGTTAACTCAAAACATCACAGTATTTCAAAAAAGGACATGCTGCTTGTCTATAATCAGCTTCTTAAAAAATGGTTATGTTAATTACATTGTATCTGAAAGACAATAATGCTACATAGTAACAATATTTAAAAATATTACTACCAGATTATACAATGTATTTTAATATAATTTTGAATATGAATGTGTAAGGATTTAAAACACGGTGCTTTATAATTCCACAAATATGGATATATTTGGCAACCAAAGATTTTGTTTTCACAACTGGTAGACTGAGAATGATGAGGAAACAATGATTGAAGCGATATCTGACTGATTTCGATAAAAACAAACATTTTGAGAGTAGGGGATAATACAGTTGGTTAGGATGCAAGCCTGACATGTATAGGATCTGGGTCTAATTCCCAACACAACCTAGTCCTCTGTATAATAGTTTATCTAGAGAGGTTCTCCTTCCCCACTAGCAGTGTTTGTATAGCCTGGGGGTCCCAGTACTGCAGGATGCAAACAACATCATATTCTCCAGCCCTAATCGGTCTAGAATCACTAGTAAGGATCTCAGACCTCCTGAGCACCACTTAGGAGGTCTTCCCAAAAATAAGTTAAGGAAAACAAATGTTTTTGTGTTACACTTTTTATTTATTTTTTAATTTTTAACTTTTTATATATTTTTAAAATTTTTATTAGTGAAACACCAGTTGTAGACTTACAAATGTTTGTGCTTGGGTTTCAGTTATACAATGATTGAATACCCATCCCTCCACCAGTGCCCATTCTCCACCAGCACTGATCCTAGTATCTCTCCCACCCCTCATCTCCCCCATCCTACCCTGCCTCTGTGGCAGGGCATTCTCTTTTGTTCTTTCTCTCCTTTTGAGTGCTGTGGTTTGCAAAAGAGGCATTGAGTGCAATCATGTTCGGTCTATAGTCTACTCTCAGCACGCATCTCCCATCCTGGAGGATCCTCCCAACACCCTTTATTTGGTGCTCCCTTCTCTATCTGAGCTGCCTTTTCCCCTAGCGAGTCCTACACTTTTTAAAGGAAATTTTTTCTAAAATTAATTTTCTCAAATGGCTTTGCAGATTTTGGAGCATATATGCAGTCCATAAACAAAATAAAACACAAGCCATGAATTTTAAGAAAATCCAAAGTTCTATTTCCCCTATGTTTATAGAAATAACTATAGATAAGTTATATTTTTTACTTTGACTCTAAACTAAAGGTTGTAATAGGAAACTGTAAGATGGTTTAATTGACTGTGGATAGACTGTAAATTTGTGTGTGTTCTCTATCAGAGGAAGTTTTCTCTAAATACTGTTTTTTAAATTTCAGTATCTGCTTCATAATAAAAAAGCTTTATTCTCTGAAAGAATACTCCAATGCTTTAAAACATTAAAATGATTTTCCATGTTATATAATATGCAGCAATGTTTTATAAAAATGTCACTTGTAATTCAAATGTAGCTAATATTAAGTGCTTTCTCTGGATAACAGAATAAAACAATCTATTCTAAGACAATCTCATATAGGATCTTGATTGAAACACTCTTAAGACTAAAGGAAAATGTGAAAAACAGAAAGTATCTGAATGACAACCAGTAAGGTGATCTTTATCTTGAATATTATCAATATAAAGAAAACAAATGCATGGAATTGTTAGAAATATCTTAGAAAATTCATTGTTCCTAGAATTAGTTCTGGCTCTGTTATTCTGTCCCTCCATCCAACTAATAACTGTAGAGAAAAGTCACTTTAATTTTGTTTGCTGAGATCTTTTCTTCTGTTTTCATTAATGCAGCTTAAGTATTTTGCTTGACTGACAGATTTCTTTATTTTTAAATAAACCAAATGAATACACACATCACAAAAGAAGCATTAAAGAGTTTTTCCTCCTTCTATTGTAGTCCACCTTGATTCTGGACCAGTTAAAAATAGAACTTACAACAGTATTCTACTGGTTGGTAAAAATTCTCCCTACTATTTTTTGTACTTAATTTTCTAATTTTAAATACAAAATTAGACACCACAATTTGCAATACTATCATATTAATAGTTCAAGTAAATACCAAGGTCACCACCAGATTATGATTGTCCCTTTTTCATTGTCTCTCTGGGTTCCCTTCTACTCTCATAATCTCGTCAGGTTTAGCAAATTGAGTTCTTTAGGTTTATTCTCTGGGTTTGCTGTCATTAGCACAGCTTTAGTACTTTCCTATGATTTTTTTATATTCCACATAAAGTAAATAATTCTATATTTCTCCTCATTTTCTGGCTCACTTCATTCAGCCAAATACCCTCTAGTTCCTTCTGAATAATAGTGAACTGCAAATTTTATAGTTGAGTAGTATTTCATTGTTTATATATACTGTTTTGTTTATTTGATCATCTCTTATTGAACTCCAAGGCTGTTTCCAGATTTTAGCTAGTATTAGCAGTGAACACTGGAGTAAAAAATATCTTCTTAAATTAACATTTTGAACTCTTAGGATAGATGGCAAGTAGAATGGTTTGATGTATCATTGATACATGGTGTACCAGTGATCGTTAAAGAAAGCACACCATCATCACATTTTGAGGAAGGTGCAAGTCCAATTAAAAACAGCCTAAAATTACAAGGGTTTCTTTTGTTAATTTTTTTTTTTGGTGGTGGTGGGGGAACAAGTACACCGGGCAGTTCTCAGGACTTACTCCTGGCTCTGGTCTCAGAGATCACTTCTGGAGGCTCAGGGAAACTTAAGCTGTGTAAGGGAACAAACCTGGGTTGACCATTTGCAAGTAAATGCTCTGTCCACTCTTTTTGCTCTCTCGCTCCCAAAGATTTTTCTATCTATATTAACTGCAGTAAGAAACTGAAGAAATCTATTCTCCTCCAAATGAACAGTGATAAAATACTTTTTGTTCAAATATTATAAGCTACAGAGTACAGCACTATTAATTTAAGAAATCAATGCAAACATTTACAAGAAATACTAATTAAAATAACACCTACTGAAATTATTAACTCATCAATTAATGCTTAATTTCTTTATGCTAGGCTCAATATTAGCAGGTCAAATCTTGAGAATTTCATCCAACTATTAATTTACTGAAGGGAGTTTGGCAGTAGAATTCACAAAACCAGTTTCCAATATGATTGATTTGAAGTAGAAAAGGCATACAGAAATATAGAGAAGGTAATACATAAAGCATTATTATAATCCTGAGGAAAAATGTGATTGCCATAAATTATAGTTCCTAATAGCAACTGATAATTTTGTTATTGAGAAGTTACTTTTACATAAAGCTGAAGTGTATAAGACACATACATACTGAATAAAATAAATGAACAGTTCGCATCCCTCAGGACAATTTGAAAGAGTAGAAAGTATTTCTTTGTTGCTATGTTCCTATGTTCTAAGTCAGATTTTATTTAGTCTACTATTGATACTAAATGTGTAGTATATACATATTTGCAGGAGATAAACTCTTCTCATATGAAAATCTTATTTTTAGGAGTGATAGCACAGCAGTAGGGTGTTTGCCTTGCACGCATCCAGCCTGGCAAGCCAGGTTCAATTCTTCCGCCCTTCTCAGAGAGCCTGGCAAGTTACTGAGAGTATTCAGTATGCCAAACACAGTAACAAGAAGTCTCACAATGGAGAAGTTACTGGGCCTGCTCAAGCAAATCGATGAACAACGGGAGGACAGATATATATATATATATATATATATATATATATATACAGTTGTGACTATTGATAATAAAATAGGATATAAGTTTCTATTAGCAGATAAACAGATATTAGTCACTGAATTCTGGTTATTAGCTCAACACAACATCGTATGATAGAATGCAAAAACAAAACAAGAGTTTTTATGAAGTCACATGCAGGAATGCTACAGATCCTAAGGCCACTTCTTGTAATATATAAAGATGTTGCAGAAAACAGCAGTAACACAGACTAGTGATAAAACAAGCAGCATGCTCTGAGAGTTGGGAAAACTCAGGTTTATTATGCCAATGGGCCCAGGAGAGCGCTTGTTCAGAGCCCAGGCTTTTTAAACATTTTATAGGGTGTCTGATGGTAGAAGGAAGGTACTTGCAGGCAACTGGCAGGGAAGTAGACAAGCAGAAATTCTAAAGAACTTTCTTTGTAAAGGAAGGTCGAGATATTTCAAGAACTTGAGCATATCTGGAGTATATTCTGCAGCTACAAAGCAAAATTATGAGCATAATCAAGGACACCCAAGATACAATCTGTGGTTACGTTATGTTACCCAAATTGAAATACTTAAATTTAACTATTCAAGTCTTCTAAAAATATTGGCAGAAATCTATTTTCCTCATCAGTACTAATCCTGATGTTTTGGTAAGAATTAGGAGTTTTTAAATTAGAAAAAAGTACATCCTTCAAGAAGTTACCAATAGGCTTGCAGAAAATTATCAATGCATATAACCAGCACTTTCATTGGTGTTGAATGGGTCAGGGATGTTACCTCCAACTTTTATTAATGTTTTTTAATTTTGTGGAGCACACATCTGTGCTTGGGTTTCCATGAAGCTGAGCTTTCAGCTATGTGCTCAGAGATCACTGCTGATGGGACCCTAGGGGACAGATGTGGTGCAGGGTTTTGAATTTGGGTCAGCTGCATTTAAACTATGCATCTTACTTACTGTCCTATCTCTTCAGCCCCAACTTTAAAATCATTTTTAAATTCACAATTTAATCCATAATCTTTGAAAAACATTTCATTTTGGAAAGATGAGATTGCCAAGATTAAATATCCATTTTTGTTTTTCCTTCCCCTGCTGAAGTGATACTTGCTAAAACACTGTGTCCAAGGATTGAAAGGACTGGTGGTGTATTTAAGGAGCTGCATCAGGGCACACTAATCAGACACAAACCAAGAAGGAATTAAAAGAGGTCCCTGAAATAAAGTAGTTGAGAAAATGACAGAAATTCGATCCGAAGGAAACTAACAAAAGTTGTCCAA